TCAGCAGCCCTGGACAGCAAGTAATCCAAATCATGATAGCAGGCAGGGAGAATATGTCCCAGTATCCTCCAATCCATGAGACTGACACAAAGCATAGTAGAGTGCACTGGATTAATGATCTGTGCCTTTATAATGTTCATCTTGCCATAATTTGTGGTCCCTTCCAACCCTGACAGATTCTGATCTGTTTTAGCAGAGGACTTTAGAGCCCTAATGACTCAATGGTTGGACTTGATGATCTTGAAGGTCCCTTCCAACCTAAAGGATTCTATGGTTCTACGATAATGAGTCAGACCAGCTGTCCTTGGGGCAGCCATTGTACAGTGACAGCTGTTGCCTGAAGTAATAAAACATTTTTATAAATGACAGCTGTAGAATAATTTTCCTTTCTAACACTTGCTCTGGTAGCTCATCTTTGAAGCAGGAGAGGCTACAGACCTTCCATCAGTGTTTCCTTTTTTGATAATCGTTACTATGGCTAATGTCCTAAAAAAGCAGTACCAGAGCATAAGAAACGCCCTCCTGAGTCAGACCAAAGTCCACCAGCCCAGTCACAGAAGGGAGTGCCCCAGCCCCATCACTTTCTGCAGTTCATTCTCCTCACACTCCTCTAGTTCCACAGCTCTTATACAAAGAATGACAGAGGATACGCTCAAGACTGTTCCTCTTGTTACCTCATTCTGGATCTGTTATCCCTGAGTTTGTGGAACCCCTTTTTGAACCTGTTGCCACAGTCTGACTTGAAACTCTCCTGAACACGTTTCAGAGGTTTACAGCTTGATAAGTAAAGGAGTACAGACATGGCAGAGGTGGCTGTGGCCTGGGGATCTCACACACCTCAGCAACTCACATTCTGCCTCTGTGTTACACAGGGTCAGAAGAGAGTGGCACACTGAACTGCTACATTTTGGCTAGAAGCAGGTAGACAGCAGAAAACTTGGAGTGATTACATGTGGTTACCAGCATAACAATCAGCTGGATTTGATTCATGTCACTGTTCACTGCTTTATGACTTGGCTCCTGGCCCCAGTCTTGTCTCAGTGCTGTGAATTCAAAGTCCTCTTTCAACAGTATGGAAAAATATTTCATATTATAAGCTTGACATTTCCAGTCATTTAATTTCATGGAATACTGTTTTGCAGCAAGTGAAAGAAAACCTTGCACGAATTCAAGGCTGCCTTTCAGAGCTCCGTTTGCTACCAGGAGAAGGCTGTTTCCCACAGGGGGGAAATGGAGTGGTACAAGCTGTGCAGGATGGATTGCAACAGTTCAAACAATACAGCAGACACACTGCAGCAGGAGGCTTAACAAATAGTTCTGTTGAGGTAAGAAAATGTTGGGAAGGTAGTGGGAGCCATCCACTAGACTTGCCACTTGTTAGCACATTATGATGAGTCTGTGGTAGCTAAGGCCCATGGGAGGGAGAGAGGAATTAAGAAAATAAGCCCTCAAAAACCCCTCCAAAATGTGTCAGCCTCTGAATGTTCATGGAAGCTAGACAGATTCAGGTTTGAGTTGCTTACAGACACTGACTTCAGAATAAAAAAAAAATTAATTTAGTTTCTAGGCATTTAAGATCTGATGGTTTTCTTTAGCTTATTTTCATTGCTTTCAGAGAAGAGCTATGTCAAAAGCAAAGACATTGAAAGTACTTTTGGACATGATTTTCCTTTCAGCCTATAGCTGTGTTCTGCAGTTATGTCTTGGTCTTTCCCTGATAGAATAGGATGTTTGTACAAAGGTCCCCATCACACCTGAAAGCCTGTCCACAGTTCACTCACAGTGAGCGCCTCCACTGGGTTAGCACAGGTACTGGAAGGGGTACTGAGGGCTTCCAAAAGGCACCACCACATCATACTCGCCTATCTTGAGGAAACTTTAGCTCAGAGTTTAGTTCTGTGGACAATTTCAAGGGCAAAGGACTGCTCTCCAAGCCAGCAATCCTTTCTTCCACTTCTGCATGTTGCCTAAGCCTAACCTATGGATGAAATTCAGTCTGCTACAAATGCCAACAAAAGGTGGTTTCACAGACCTATTGGGATTGAAGGGGTGGCCTTCATCTTCCATATGAGAGTGACTAGGCACCATCAAAGCAGCCAGGAACTGTGCAGAACAGCTACAGTTCTCAGATCTTTGTTGAAAAACAAAGCCAGTGATCACAGAAGGTTATTTCACCCTTACAAAGGGCCATGTTTCTGAAAAAAAGGCATCTTTCTGCTTCAGATACCTCAGCAACAGAGATTTTGTTCATCATGAGCATTTTTTATGCAAAATTTGATTTCCATTTCCTTTTCTCAGAAGGCATTTGGATGGTTTTGCTCAGATACAGTATTTTGAATAAAGGAAAAAAGATACACTTGGAAGTGAAGTCTAGATAACATAAGCCAGTTAAAGCAGGCATTTACCTTCTTAAATTCAACTGTATCAGGTTGATCATGTGTTGGGATCGAGTACTTAACTTCTTCCACAAGCATTTTCTGTTAGTCCACTGTGAAGTAGCAATTCTGTTTCTGTGGTACCTTAAGGCATTAGTGAAATACTGGCCCAGGTTGCCCAGAGAGGTGGTCGATGCCCCATCCCTGGAAACATTCCAGGTCTTGTTCCAGATGTCCCTGTTCACTGCAGGGGGGCTGGACTAGATGACCTTGACATGTCCCTTCCCACCCAAACTGTTCTGTGATTAGAACAGAGAGGTGTTATTTCCATTGAACCCTAAGGCACAGACTAGAAAAATAAGCCCTTCTTGATCTGATTTTTGGAAATCTCTAGTTCTGTCTGTTTCTTGATGGATGAGCATCAGGTTCTACCAATGCAGTTTCTTCCTTCTCTTTCACAAGCTTCATGCTTTAGCTAAGTGCCCCCATAAGTCAGTTGATCCAAGTATTTTGCAGTTAAGATTTGATATAAGACTTAGCCAAAGTGTTTGTTATTCACCAAAATTTGATGCTTTGTGTCTCGTGTTGGTGCATCCGTGCCCGATGAATGCAGTCGGGCACAGGTCTCGGGCAGCTTGGTGGGAAGAGACAGGAAGGGCAGGACAAGACTACATGAAGCAGTAGGATACTGGAAGCTGTTAATGAAGTACACGCATACGTGAGCAGAAAGGCAAGCACTCAAGAGGCATCAGGGTTATATAGAACACTTTCTTTGGCATGAAAACACAATGGCTGGTATTTATAGTACAAGAGCAACACTGGCAATTTGCTTGTGCAAATCAGGCGTAGTCTGTAGGCAGATGTGCATTTTCCTAACAGTTAAACCACAGAGGCAAGAATATTCCTAGCTGCCTAATAAACACAGGAGGCAGACTTTATTAGAACCTGCAATCATTTAAAATATTTGTTAAAAGTATTAAAAATTCTTACTTTTTTGTGATCGTGATTTCAGAGGGAAAGAACCACCAGCATCAGTGAAGCTCTCTCAGCAGCTGCAGGGCAGGCAATGTGGCCAGTCTGCAATAGGAAGAAAAGCTTTCTGTCCCACCTCAAGTTAATGTGGAAGGTGGGGGCATCTGGTAGTGATCTCATCAGTTCCCACCCAAGGCTGGCCAGATGCTGGGTGAAAATCAGTCAGGAGGGTCTTTCTTGCCTGGATGTGGACATCAGCCCATCACGTCAGTCCCTAACCCCTGAACTGTCACTTCTGCTGGAGTCGTTTCACATCTTTGCAGCAGAACTCATTTGTGAAGTGCTACTGCTCAGTTTCCCCAGATGCTCCCTACAGGACATTTGTTATCAGCCTTACCTAAAATACCCCTTATCCTTTATTTAGAGTTATTAAACAGTCCTTTGGTGCAGTGAACAGATATGCTGAGAGACTCACTACTTCACCATCATTAAAAATCAGGCAAGGTCAGAACTCAGAACTTTCTCACCTAACTACTCTTCCAGGGTAGAAGCTGGTGTTGAACGTGCCTGACATGCTTCTAGAATCTGTTGAAGACTGTCAATGATGAGGCAACTCTTTGCAGTCACTTAATTTTACATCAAAACTGAGAGGTGGAACTCACACCTGCTGTTGCTCTCCTAAGAGATATCTTTAGGATAGACTATATACTTCTTTTAAAAAAAGAAAAAATCCCATTCAGCCCTCAAGTGAGGTCAAATTTAGTCTACTTGAACTAGAATTGATGCAGTAACAGGAAGTCCCTCAGCAGGCCTCAGACAGAATCCCTCCTACACACACAGGCTCACTGATGCTGTTTGCAAAGCACAGAACATAACACAGCTGTGGGTTGTCCATCTTCTTCCAGCAGTGGCACAAAGCCCATTGATGTTCCTGCAGTGAACCTCTCAGTACATTTCATGTTGGCTTAGATAGAAGCCAAAGTGCAAAACAAACAAAAAATAATTAAATCTCTTTTTGAATAGATATTTTAGCAAGATTTCTCTCCTCGCTACATAGTGAGACCTGTGCTATTGAAACAGACCAGACATAATCGCCTGGCAAGAGAGGGTTGGGGAGAGGCAGCTCTTGCACACTCTGATTTGTGTTTCAGATCACAATTTTGACTAGCCAGGCCAGCAAAGAAATTGTAAAGCAGCTGGAAAAGAAGTTAAAAGATATAGACCTTATGAGTCTGCGAAGAATACAAGTCATTGAGGTTTTGAAGAGAGACTTTCTGGAGCCTGAGGATGTGGAACAGTGCATTTCAGCAGAAGACCCCAGCAGCAGTGGTGAGTATAAGAGACAGGGTCCTCAGGGAAGTTATGTCTTTGGGCAGCAGGACAGCTCCTAGTTTGTGTTTTTGTCCAATATATGCCACTTTGTGACATTTAGTGTCACTCATGTAAGGGGGAACTACTATGACTGGAGGAACAGCAAAATGTTTGTACCACAGCACTTCTCTGGGGCTTTATCACACTGAGGCAAAACAAGCATATAGACTTCATTACTGCATCTCTTGGTGTTATCCAAAACTTACTTAATGTGCAGTATGGATTTATTGAGGGAGTAAAGAGAGAAATGCATAGAGTTTGTAGGTATAACACACTCTCAGATACACATGCCCTCATACTGCTGAACACCACCCTGGACCACTGACTGGCTGATCAAAAGTTCCTTGGTGCAGGCAGAGGCAACCGAAATCCTTGGAGCAGATAGCCAGGAGAGAGAAGCAGGCAGGCAGGAGGGAGGGAGGGAAGGAGAAGCAGGCAGGCCACTTACAGGGACCATTTGAAGAATTACAGTCATTATATTAGTCTTAGATTATTTGCCATGTGGAGAGAGATTAAGGAATTTCTGTCTTTTTTTTTTAAATCTTTCTAAATGTAGGAGCAGATGCATAGTGTCATTTCTGCAAAGTAGAAATGTTAGCACATAAAGAAAAGATTTCTCATTGCAGATGGATGTAGCACTGTATTTTAGCCCCCAGCTGGCCTGGCAAACACACTGGGGAAAAAGGGCTATTCTGCTATAAATTAATCTTCTGGGAGTACCTGTTTCATGTCCTGCCTGTATGGTGACACTCTTAACACTTCCAGGCTGACTCTTCCCTCTGAGTTTACAAATGGGTTTATTATGTCTTACACATTTTGCAAATTGTTCATCTTTCTTTTTTTTTTTTTTCACTTTTACTTTTTTTAATGATGTATTTAATCTGCTAGACTTTATGCTAGTTTGTCATTTGGACGCATCATTGAGTTATTATTTGGAGGCATTTGGGGTTAAAGGGTTTTATTTTTGCAAGCGTTTATGACCTCAAAAACTCTGCTGTCCAGCCTATATTTCTCCATTCTTAAATGTTGTTGCTAGATCATACACATTTGCCCTGCAGTTCCACCATGGTGGTTTAAATACTTGCTATATGTCCTTGAAAACATTTTTACTTTCTCCTTTCAATTTCTTTTAAAAAAACCTCTCAATTTTATGCATTTCACTCATTTGAAATTATATGTAATGGTGCTGGATAGTTTTGACTGTTGCTGTATCTGCAAGGATGGATGTTCTGCTGTGGAATTGCTGTGTTACCAAGCAGCACCTGAACAGTAATGTCAAAACAAGCCCTGAGTGTTGCTCAGGTCCAGTTTGAGTTTTGCTTCTGTTGTTCTCAGGTCTGTGACTAGCTGCTCCTTTAAACACGTGCTGAGGCTGCTCAGTGTATCAGTCGTGGGGCCGTGTTGCAAAGTAACAGTTAGCTTCTGTACAAGGAGCAGTTCTTTTCATCACTATCACAAAACCCCCCCATTAACGTAGCTCGTCAGTTTTGCAGTCTCTTATTTCTCTTAGCATCATGTATTCAGTGTCCCTTGCTTAGGGAAAAGGAGGAAATGGCTTAAAATTGTGAGAAGAGTCTCTGAGGACAGTGCTAAGATGACCACAGAAAGGATGGTTTGCATCAGTCACAAGTCTTCTGAAGATGATAGCAGCCAGTCCACCCACCTGGCTGATGAGAAGGGTTTTGGTGTGGCCTGTGGAGCATCTCAGCTTCTAGCACTGTCCTTTTAAGAGGGTTGGCATCACAGAGACATGCTGTGATTCCTGTAGTAATGCCTTCTGAAGCACTTTTTATGTGGAAGACTTGAGGGACTAAGGAGATAAAGTGCAGTGGAAAATGCAAAGAATGTTCTTTTCTATGGCTGAAAATATTTTTGATTTTTCACATTTTCCTGCAGACATTGAAATCCTGGGAATGGACATCGACGTGCAAACCATAGAGGACAATGCCATCAGCTTGGAGATGCTGTTTAAAACTTGGCTGCATGACTATGGCACAGAGAGAGAGCACCTCCATCTCCTCCTGCCATCAGGAGGCTTCAGCCATGCCCCTGTACTCAGGACCACCCCAAGTACTTCATTCTCTCTCCCCCTCTGCAGGGAGCTCCTAAGCCCCACATCCTTAAAGATTACCCAAGCCTGTTCTGTGGGCACGTTCCCTCACATTTAGAGACTCAGAAGAGGTCTCTGGGGACTTTGAAAGCTGTCTAGTGCTTCTGTTGTCTCAAGCTGAGAGGGGCCATTTGCTTAGAACACTTCTAGGTTGCTGCCATGTCCCATGGCTGGTGATGCTATTTTTGGCATCCATTTATTTTATTAATCTCCATTCTGCAGCAAAAACATGGCTTGAAAATAAGCAAATTTGTAGCCTACTGGGTCGAGGTAAAAGAGGCCTTACATACTGAGAGCCAAGGACCTTCTGGCTCACCTCTATAGCCCTAAAAATTGTGTGCCTTGTGTTTGATACTAAAAGCCCGTGGCTGAGCTGCACTTAAATAAAGACTGTCTTTATTTAAGACTTGGGTTTTATTTATATCTATTGATTTAGCACTAAAATAGCTAATGTTCTAGCTGGGGCTGCAACTGTTATAATAATTCATGGGAAAATTTATAAGGAATATGTAATTTTTTGTTCCTTTACTAGTCAAAGTCCAAATCCCTAATCCATCCTTGGCTGAGCACTGAAAACAGCTGCAGCAGACGTAGGTGTTTCCTGCAGGTTGTTGTACCTGTACTGCCCCGTGGCACTGCCAGGGGGACCTGCACACCCACTCCAGCCTTCCCGCTCTGTGGGCAGCTCCCACCACCCTCACAGCAGAACCACACTGCCCACCTGCTGACCCAGGGCCAGCACAGGCAGTGATGCTGTTTTGTGAAAGGTGGATTTTCCTTCATCGTAACGTTGAATTTCATATGCTACTGAGACAAACCATGTTATACTGCAGTCAGGTTTTCTTGCTTTCCCACACTCAAGAAATCTATAGAAGGCCAGAGGAATTGTCTGCAGCTACATATCATGTCATACCAGAGCTAGCATCACCTGTGTGCTGGGTTTTGACACACACACACACACACACACACACAGAGATGGAAAAGCTGGCAGGAAACATGTGGCCCTGAACCCAGTGTGGCACTGGGAAACATGCTTCTGCTCTCTCTACAGCTGTCTGCTAATTGCCAGAACTGGAACCTGCCTGCCCAGTTACCAGCCAATCCTTGTTTCATTAACGTGCCAGGGATGTGGCATTTCCCCTGGTCTGTAAAATGGGGATAGACAGTTGCCTTGTGTCACAGGCTTTAGCATTGTTCTTCCCTTAATAGTTGCTGTTGCTAGAAAACATTAACTTGGTGTTTGTAAGTGCTTTGAGCATGCCATGTGCTAAACATTGCTCTTTCCAGCAGCTGAAGCCAATGTCTTTCTCCTACCTAGTGTGCCTGAAGTGTGATTTGCAGGAGAGATTGCTCGACCCAGCTCTGCTTTCTGGGATGGCTGATGGCACCGTGAGAGCAGCGGGTTTGAACCCCCCCTGCCAGATGGCAGCCTGGCCAGCGACAGCGCTGTATAAACTCCAGGTTGTGAGGTAAGTGTTGTTAGGGGCCTGGTGACTGGAGGGCTGGTATAGCAGCAGCCTTTGCTCTTTCTGTAACCTAGTAACACCACCATAAAGCACCAGGGGACCCAAAGTGCTAGTGAGCACAACTCTGATGTAAGGTGCCCTCCACCCCCATAACTCTCAGTGCTATGGAGTAGCACATCCCACACATGCAGACAGGAGGGCAGGGGCAAAAACGGCGTTAACATGACACCAGCACTTTATGAGTGTGTCTGTGTTTAGTCCATATCTGGGGCTAAACCACAGCAGTTGCTCTGTCACCCATGACCCCTCCCTAAGCAGAGAAGGGAGATTGGGAAAAGGAGAGAAGACCTGGGAGATGAAATGAGAACAGATCTAGTGAAACAGACAAAATAATACAAATAGAAAGCATTCAAAGTTACACTCACATGCTGCAGTCACAACAGACAGGAAGACATCTTCAGGAGAAGGAAGAGGAACAGGGTCAGGAGAAGCCTAAGCAGGAGGCCCCCCATCCCCAGCAAACTTCCCCCTTTATACTGAGCATGACGTTTCTGGTCAGGGATACACCTGTGAGCCACGTTCGGGCAGCTGCCCTAGCTGACTCCAAACTGCTAATGGCCTGCAGACCATGGCTGGCCTGGAATTCTGCCCCAGAGAAACCAGGACAGAGATAACACCACAGATGTTATTCGTGGAACAGTTGTTTCCTTCCAATGTGAAGTTCTGTAGATGGCAGCCATTGCTCCATATGTGATTCTGCTGCTCTCTCATTACCTAATGAGGCCACAGCAATTAATTGGATGTCAGAACCTGAGCTAACTAGTTGACTAGTAGTAAAAAAGCAAATAAAGCCTCATATAGTGCTGTGTGACTAACCATAAGAAGGTATTTGCCTTCCTGCCAGCAGTCTATGGCTGGGAAACAGCATAACAAGAAGAGTGATGCTCTCTAGTGTCTTTTCTGAGCTTTATGTATTGTGTCATTTCTGACCAATACAGTTGTTCTTAAAATGACTCTCATCCTGTCAGTAGCTGAAGAGCACTCAGTAATTGTGTATAAATGGGCCCCAGACAAAGCACTGAAGCTACTGGGTAGCGCCATGTCACAGAGCAGAAAGGTGCCATGTACAGGAGCACCACGTACCCTACAGTCTGTAGTGGGGTCTGTGGGGAGGTGTTGGCTCTGGGCAGGAGCAGAGCATGTGCCTGTTTAAGTAAAGGATAAGCATGATCCTGTAAAAATCACATAGGAAGAGATGAAATTGCCTGGGTGAGTTTTTGCCCAAGAGGCCAGATCCACCATTGGGTTTGTATACAAAAGGAATGAAGACTGGATTTGCTCCTTCGCATGCTCTTGTCAATGCAGATACAAGGGAATCTGGAAACAAGCAAGAAATCCTCTTTTCACTGCAGCTGGACTTTCTGCAGGGTTTCATAGTGACGGACCACAGCAATACAGACATTAAGTGCTTGTAGCAGCATTGCAGCTGGTACTGCTGTAGCCTCCCAAGCTGGTCATCTCCCAGGGTAGAGTCTCTTTGCTGGTTTCATGTTTCATGTGCTTCATTAACACGAGCTGTGTATTTGCAGGGCTCTGAAGTCTGAAGGGGTCTGTGAGTCTGTACTGTACGGCCTGCCTTTCATCATCAAGCCCACAAGCTGCTGGCAATTAGACTGGGATGAACTGGAGATAAACCAGCACAGTTTCCATGCCCTATGCCACAGTCTTCTGGTGAGTGTGTGAATATTGCAGTCCCACAGGGAAGGGTTGACACAGAAAGGAATAGTTAGTGCACATCTAGTAAGCTCTGTCTAGTCTGCACCAGAAAACATGTTTCAGAAGCTGCAGCTTCATCTCATGGGCCAGAGTTGGGCTTGTAAATCCTTCCAGCCAGTGCATCCACTGGAAAGATGCTGCAGCACATCAAACCTTAGGGAAGACTCTCTGGCCTATCTGAAATCCAGTGTTTGGAGGTAGGAAGTGCAAAAGTCAGGGTTGGACTCAGACGTGCACCTTTAGCTATGAAAATAATTAACCAAGGCTTAGGATGTGAAGGACTTCCCATTACTGACAAGTCATGAAGCAAAATTGGATGTTTTTCTTAAAAATTGTTTTGCATTCAATCAAAAAAGAACCCAATCAAACAAAATACTATCCTCAACTATAATGCAGAATAGTGTTCTTATTCTGATGTGGATGACTGCCTCTGCTCCTGAACCCAGGAGCTCCTACAGCTGAAGGAAGCAGCTGTTGTTCACAGCCAGTTTTGGCTCTTCCCATTTAGAAAAGGAAGTGGATGCTTTTGGCTAAATGTGAGCCACAGAACACGAGTCCAAACTGGAACATCGTGGTGCATTCCTACTATGTCATTATTCCTTCCGACTCTGCCACTCTACTTGTCAAAGCAGTTGCCACCAGAGAGCTTTTGTTGCCGTCAACCTTTCCAGCCCTCCTTGCTGAACATCCTGAGAGCGTGCACGGCCCTGTAGAGGTAAGGCACGGACAGCCCTGCACAGTATCTGTGGAAAAGATCCACACTCCCTGCAACAAAACCCTCAACACTAAAACCAACAAACCCCCCAAGCAAACCCCACAGCCTCTACCCGTCACATCTCGTGGCCACTAGGTTCTTTCTTCTGTTTGAGCAGAGTGCCCTGAACAGCCTGGAAGTGGAAGTTGCATATAACCCCTTGCACCTAAAAAGCAACCTGTACAAACACCTGAAAAGCATGTTGTACAAACCTCTGCACAGGCAGCAGGCCCAGCACAGGGACCAGCGACCGGAGCGGCATCAACCCAGGCAGGTCCGTCTCTTGCCTTTGTCTAGCCTGGGGAGTCTCTGTTCTGCCCTTCTGATCGGCACCCGACACAAGGGCTGAGGGCAGCTCCCGGTGCCCTGGCAGTATGGGGAAGGCAGCATGTGGCAGGGGCAACGTCCCCGTGCAGCTGGCAGAGCAGAGGGGTGGGTGCAGCATAAGCCCACGCAGTTGCCGGGGGGGTGCTGAGCAGCTGGCACAGGCGGGCACTGCTGGATGGTGTGCTGCTGGACAAGCCAGCACCTCCTTCCACCATGTGTATTTGTGTTTTGTCCCTGTGTTACAGCATCAGAGCAAAGCCAAAGCCACAGTGACACCCCTTCTGATGTCTGCTTCTCCTGTCCACACATTCAGACCAGCCGCAGTGAGAAGAGACTCCTGTGAACGCTCCCTGCTCCCCAAGGAGTACGAGGAGTTCCTGCAGTGAACTGCTCACATGCAGTCACTTGCCATCTTGCTCAGCTGCCAGGCCCTTTGCACGGGCCAGAAGCGATCAGGCAAGACACAGAGCTTGGCCTTGGTCAGACAGGCACTTCCTATCGTTTGTTCCTCCTTGTTGTTCTATGGTTTTGTTAGTCACCAAGTCAGTCTGCAGGAAGTCTGCAAATCCAGGGCCCTCTGTCCAGAGCCAGCTCTCCCCTGCAAATCCCAGTATTTCCATCCTTGTCAGCACGCATCACCAGGACACCTCCAATTTTGGTGTCTGAGACCAGGTTAGTACAGGCCACGAACAACACATTGCTGTCAGTGGGCACAGAGGAGCTGCAGGCGGGGCAGTGAGGAAGTCAGACAAGTAGGCAGTAACGTCAAGCTGCCCTCATCCTGCCGAAGCTTTTTTGAACAGGCATAAAACAGAGCTTTTGAATTTTATCTTAAAGCCCAGAACACTGCCCTCCTGGCAGCAGCACTACCCTTGATGATCCCGATTTGCTTGCTCCCCTAATTGGTCCTGCTGTCCAGCTCATGAAGGGGTCTGTAGCAAGTGCCATGCCAGTGTAGTGCCCTGGCTGGCTCCTACACAGTGACAGCTCACTGCAGCTGGAGCTGCAGCACAACACCGTTCTCCTAGCCAACTGCTGCTTGGATGCTCTCCTTTTTGTGGCCCATCTGTGCCTATGGGGATGTTCTGCAAGCCAACGTGGCAAGTACTTTTTAGCAGGGTTCAGAAGGTGGGAGAGGTTGGCCTGGAGCTTTTCAGAGAGCTTCTGCCCCGGGCTCACATGGGCAATTGCCTGTTGTTCGCTGCAGACACAGGCCAGCTGCCTCTGGCAGGGCAGAAGCTGGGGGCAGCTCAACTGAGCCAAGACAAGGGGGTCTCACAGGGCTCCCTGGGTGCCAAGCACCAGCAGGGGGTTGTGTTCTACTTACTGTATTCTGAGAAGCTGTTTCAAAATAAAGTTACTCACTGTAACGTTCACGTGCTGCCTGTAGTTTGTAGTGTGCACTGATGTCCAGCCTGGAGGTCATCACAATACCTTGTGCCCCAGTCAGCACAGAAAAGTACCTGTGAGCCTGACTCTCATACCCCTCAATTCCCTGGCATCAGGGCCTCCTATCCACAGCTGAACCTGGCACACATTTTTCTTCACGCTCTCCTCTTAGCTCATTAGCTTTGGCACAGACATGAACGTGCCACTGAGCGAACACCACTCAGCCAGGCTGCCTGGCTCGACAGCACTGCACCAGCATCTCCCCATCCACACGTCTGGCAGCCCAGACACGCCATAGGCAAATGTTTCACTCTGAGACACACAGACTTTAATATTAAAATAATTTTGTATAAAAATACTTTTGGAACCTGATGGCAAGCAGTCTTCCATGTGCCGCAGGGGGCATCCCAGCCGTGCAGCCCAGTCAGAGAGGGAGCCAGAGCAGAGCCAGAGCAGCAGGCACAGGGTGACCAGCCATCCCATCTGTGGATCAGCACCTGGCAGGAGAGCCAGCTCCAGAACCGGGGAAGCACGCCAAC